CCAAGGAGAAGTTATGGTGCAAGATGAACATCAAGAGCATGAAGAGAATCTGCCCAGCCCAGAAGTCCCGGTACAACCGCCCTTGTACCGCCCAACTACCGCCCGGGCGGTAAAACCGCTCAACCACCGCCCAACCACCGGCCAAGCTTCTGTGATCGAGCGATGCAAGGCCGGTACAGCACCGGTTTATCCCCATAACAGCCACCAGACCGGTACAACCGCCCCAAGCACCGGTACAACCGTTGAGCACATCCGAAAGCACCTCCAGGAACCAGTACCTGAGCGCCCAGTGGTACAACCGCCCCATGACCGGTACTACCGCCCTACCTGTGCGCAGTGAAAGGGGTTTCACCTCATGTATCCCCCAGCTTACCCCTTGGACTATATATACTTGTCCCTTAGCTCCGTACTAGGGTTAGCGTTGTGTTAGCTCATATGTGAGATAGAGCTTCGCTCATCCATCTGGATCTACTCCACCGCGAGGGACCGACACCTCTTTGGAGAAGATCCTCTTTGGATTCAAGACCCCTTTCAGGGAAGATCCCCTCGTTGATTCAAGGCCTCCTCAAGGAGAAGAACCGGTTACCTTATGTATCGTCCTTTGTTGGATTCGGATCATGTATCTCTTTGTGGTTCGAGAATCTAGCATATGCGTGATCATTCTGGTTGGTTTGAGTGATTCTCTCGTGTCTCCTCTCATGTCTCCCCTCGTGATTTCCCCTCGTGTTCTTCATGTTCTCCGCGGGATTTGCTCCAATCGTGAAAGGTCGGGCAACTAGGGTTCTACCCTACACCACATGGGTTAGTACATAAAGTGTAATGGGCAATGCTTACCATGCCATGGGATCACTTGATCCCTCTCAGTACATCTTCTACGCTTTATGTGTTGATCAACTTGATTCACTTTTTGACTTAGTCTTGATGAACCTTGAGTCATGTCTTCTATATGACCACTCTTTGGATAATTCCTTGAATAGCACCTTGATCAACACATAAACTCCTTGAAACCAACAAATGGACTTCGAGAAAAGCCTATGGACAAACCCTTCAAATATAACTCAAGGCAACCATCAGTCCATAGAGATAGTTATCAATTACCAAAACCAAACATGGGGGTACCATGCTTTTTCAGCCCCCAACCCGACCATCCTCCTTAGCTCTTGTTATAAGAATAGCCATCATATCCGCTACAATATGAAATAAGATTGGTGACATGGGATCACCTTGCCTCAGTCCCTTCCGGGTTTGGAAATAATGATTGATGTCATCGTTCACCTTAACCCAACACTCCTGCCTTGAAGGTAGGAAGCCATTTGTTTCCTTTATTCAGCCGCAAAATCTTTCATGCGAAGGGCTTGTTGAAGAAAATGCCACTTGACTTTGTCATATGCCTTTTCAGAGTCCACCTTAAATGAAACTCCATCAAGTTTCTTAGTGTGGAGCTCATGGATCGTCTCATGAAGGACAACCACTCTCTTAAGAATATTGCGACCAGGCATAAAGACAGTATATGTTGGGCGCACGACCGTATGAGAAATATCAAACAATCTATTAGTGCCCATCCTTGTAAAGATTTTAAAACTAACGTTCAACAGGTAGATGGGTCTAAATTGCTCAATCCGAGCAACATCCACAATCTTGGGTAAAAGCATGATAATTTAGAACTATCTTGACGCCCCTCAAATAGATTTAGGACTTGTGGTGTACTTTACTCTTTTAAAATACTATGAAGAAAAAAATTATATATGCACAGAAATGTCATGTACATGTGTGTAAATTTTGACAGTGAATACGTTAGATTGCGGGCCACAGAAGAATCAAAGAAATTTGTAGCTTTCAGCACATTAACTATTCAGTCTCAAAATCAACAAATTTGTTCTTTTGTGCAGCTCGCAAATTCATAGTATTTCATCATGAAATTTTAACACACGTACAATACATCCTTCCTTATGTACACACGTATGTATTTTTTTAGATTTTTTAAACTGAAAAGTTTGATTTTGATTTTTCTTAAAATAACGTCTTAGGCCATCTCCACTGCAAGACTCTATCTTGTCCGCCGGACGCAGTTTGAATAAAAGCAGACACATGCAACGATCCAGCGGCAGACCCATTTTACTTTTTCGTCCGCTTCGTGTCCGTTTCACCCCATCTCTGGTCCAAAGTTGATCTGGATTTGAGGCAAAAGCGGACAAAAAACGAACGTCTCCGCGTCCTCTTCGTCCGCTGTGTTCGAGCGTGCCCCACATGTCACCCTCTCTCCCTTGGCCCACCGTGTCCACCTACCCATCAACACATGCAGCCACATGCCTGTCTACTGGAGTGGCGCGGCGTCGGCCGGAGCGGGACGCGGCGCGGCGCAGGCGGCGGCCGAAGCGGGGTGCGGGCGCGAAGCAGGCGGCGGGCGAGCTCGGCACG